TTTGTGCGGCCAAAAGACCTCAACCAAGCGGCGGGATATGATCCCACTCTGCAGGCAAGGCAACTGATCGACTTGCACTCAAATATTGAATTACCTCATCCATCTTGGCATCATGCCAAACATCCATGAAGAGGGAATCATGATAAACGTCTCCAGCTTCAAGCACATCGGGGGGGATTACCTCATCAGGGTAAAAGAAACCAAACTGCGCGATCACGCTCCCACTCAAGCCTTGCCTGTCCCACATCATTGGGCATCTCTCGCTCGTTGATCAACGTCGGGAAGGCACGGACCATGCGGAGGCCGAAGCCATATGGATATTTCCTGGGATCGAGAATCGGGAAAGATCGTTCGAATGTTTCCTGGGGTCCGAGCTACGGGGAACTCTTGGAATGCAAATTGAGCCATGAGTCTGACTGCCTTTCAACCGTTTGCCACCTGTGAGCACCTTTCGCCCGCTCTTCGTGCGATGAGTAACAGCTAGCCGATGCTTTGCTGCAGTCTTAAGCATGTGCTTTGGAAGGCGGCCACAGGCAAACCGTCTGATCCCCTTTGAGTTGCTCCAAAGCCGGGTACGCTTGGGCGTTGGTGCTCCCAAAGCCCGAAGCCACAGACCTTGTCTCCAAACCTTAGGTTTCTGACAAGCCCGAACATGGACCAAATATTTTGCAGAAACCATGGATCGGTCACATGAATTGGAAAAGCCAGGGCACCTTGGTGACTTTCAGGATGAGTTGCATTCTCGGGTGGCGGAAAAAAATTACTGGAACTGGGTTGCTCCAGAGTCCACACCAATCTCCGATCGACGCAAAAGAAGATGCACAGGGCCATTCTGCGAACAAGGGTTATATGCGCGCACCGTACACAAAAAGCCAATCATGCAGACACCACGCCGAGAAACCAGCAAATTTCCAAGTCGGACTCCGTCTCGAAGTGGGTTTCCAAGTGGCACAAAAAAGGATCGTTCTGTGCTGGCCCTACATATGGTCACCCAGCTGGAGCATACCATCCCGAAATGGACTACCGACTCACCTGGAATCGCACGAAGAATAGCTAGCATAGGCAGCCTCAACTCGATCACGCATGCAGAAATGAAACGCTTGACCCACACATGCAATCACCCCTAGCACGCATCCTATTTCATCCAAGAAACGCCATCCCTGATGGCTCCGAAATATCAAGAGGATTACTGCAATGCAAATGCCGTCCTGCTTGTCGCCGGGATTCAACAAAGTCCGCCCAGTAGTCCAAGTCGAGCCGCGCCACGCGGTGATCTGCATAAAGCATGCACTGCGAAAGGCACGCAGCTCCAGCGCAGACCTCCACAAACGTGTAGCGCTCCTGCAGGTTTAGGTAGCGTGGTTTTTGAACCCGCGGGTACTACGCGAGCCGAAAGGGTTTCAAACGGATCCACAGCGGGCAAACAGGATTTCAACATCATATTGCACACGGCCTGGATCGCCAGTTGCGGCTTTTTGTCCATGCACTGTACCCAAAAACCAGCAACAGTGACTGAAACAAACAGCAACTTAAGGACTCCGTTACTGCTGGGACATGTCAAACGTCACGTGTGCAGTCTCCTGCAAGCTCAGCTTCGTGTGAAAGTGGAGCAGGATCACCACCACCAGCAGGACCTTAAGTACCAGGCCGATCCAAACAATCTGAGGGAGGTGGCCGACCTTCAGTACGAAATCGATCCTCTCGTGAAATCAAAGCCATACATGCTCATGCTCATGAGAATTGCATGCATCGATATTGACAATATACAATCGAAGGCAAAGCACGGACGTTTGTCATGCAATAAATCAAGCGATCGTGTTCCCCATGCGCCCAAACCCTGTACGTCCCAGAAACCATCCAATTCCATGCGAGCTCCATGCGGTTTAAACTCGCGATCAATATGCATGCATGCATGCATGCGTTGAGCTTCTCACATGCATGCATGTAAACAAGGACAAACCGCAGCATGGACACAATCACATTTTGCGCACCATCAAAATCGGTCAGCGCGCACGCTATTCTACAATGCGTGCATGCAGGATGCTTTGCATGATCACAACCACAGATACAGGCATGAGTGCGCTCCAGGCACAGATGGGCTCATATTTCTAGGGGTCTGCCAAGATGGGCTGACAAGGAAATTCTTGCAGCTGCGAACTTGGGCCTTCTGGGGTAAGCCCCAACCCGCCCACTGCAATGCATGCAAACAAGAAGCTCCAGGAGAGCCAATGCGGAGCAGGGCAGATAGCAGCGATCTCAAAGCTGCATCAGCCATTGCGGGACGCTGTGCACGCATGATGCCTTTCAACCTCATGTGATGCCCTGCAACCTGGCATGGCCTGCTTCGACTCTCAGAACGTCTGACATGACCCTGCAACCTGCCATGGCCTAGCTTTGACTTAAGAACGTCTGATGTGACATGAAGCAATTCAATGCGATTCAAGTGGATCTGCCATGTTCGTGTGTGCGTGCGTGCTGCCATTCGCACAACCAATCTTTGAACACACGCATGCATGCATGCATGCATTCAATCCAACTGCTCACACGTGCATCATGTGCATGCTTGATGACTCACAATGCATGCAGCTAGAAGTCGCAAAACATGTCTGTGCACTGCCTGGAATGCATGAAGTTTACCCCCCAAAACCAGCAACAGTGACTGAAAATGACTGAACAAAAAGGTGCACAATCAATTCTGGTGGCCAGTGACCAAGACTCCCAGCAGAGCAAAGCGGGGTGGCACCCTCGGATCTCCGCTTCAGCGCTTGCCTCCGAAGCATCCACGCTGTACTCATCGTCCATCTCCAAGCCAGACCTACCGGGAGTGAGTCACGGGAAGCGCAAGCCAATTATGCCTCCGACTACGAGGCCGAGGCATGATTCCTTTTCCCGGTTCGTACATTGAGGTACCACGCAACTCCGATTGGATCATGGGAAAACAGCAACCCTCAAGAAGCGCACATGCGCGTCTGGCCCCCCAAACGCACAAGCGCGCCTCAAAAGCGGCGTCGATGCAGCAGCCAGCAAGCCTGCAGCGCCAGCAGCAGGGCCTAGCGAGGATTCGAGTCCACACGAGCGAATTCGAGAATTCGGTGCGATCGAGTGACCCTTCGTGCATCCCCGAATCTCAAACAAGTTTCAAGGGCCGCGGAACCCTAACACTCCGATTGAGGATCTAAAGCTCCGATTGAGAGGGTCAAGGAGGGCATGATCAACATGAGGGGTTCCGATTGAGAGGGTGGATCCATGAATGAGAATCACCAACACTCTCACACCCGACCCTACCAATCATGCAGCAATCCAGCATCTGACTGCAACAACAAGGCCATGAAAATGTCCAAGCTGTCATCACAAGAGACCGAAAGTGACTGAATGGTCTGAGAACATCGGATGCAGTTTTGTTCATCTTCGCACAAAGACTCAAGTGGCCTTTCAGGCCGGAGACGTTCATAGCAGTCTACCTCAAGGCTTCTGACTGCCACCCATTGGCCAATTGCTAAAATTTCATGTGCAGTGTGGAGAAAGTTCTTTGCGATTGACTCACATGCAGCTCACATTCTTTCTGATCTTTCAATATTGCACACATGCACATGGAAATTATATGGCCCCCACGCAGTCTCCCTGAGACACATGCCATGCGTCTGGCCTACTTAAAGACTTGGCTAGCTGAATCTATTGCAGCCACGCAAGTCGAAAAGACACTATGCGGCGGCTTCCCCAGCAGAAATCCTTGTTCCGCGAAACTCTGGCTGCCGGCAATGACCGCAACCACTCCGGCACCCCCTACAGGACGCGCAGCCGAGCTGCAGGTCCTTACACAGGGCGCAACCTCCGGGAGTGTGCTCACAATGCCAACAACCTGGTCGCTGGGTGGGGTCCACGCGGAAGTAGGAGCGTTTCTGGTTCTTCGGCTCCTTCGGCTCCTTCGGCTTCTTCGGCTCCTTCGACTTCTTCGACTTCTTCGGCTCCTTCGGCTCCTTCGGCTTCTTCGGCTCCTTCGACTTCTTCGGCTCCTTCGGCTCCTTCGGCTCCTTCGGCTCCTTCGGCTCCTTCGGCTTCTTCGACTTCTTCGGCTCCTTCGGCTCCTTCGGCTCCTTCGGCTCCTTCGGCTCCTTCGGCTCCTTCGGCTCCTTCGGCTCCTTCGGCTCCTTCGGCTTCTTCGTCTTCTTCGGCTCCTTTGGCTCCTTCAGATTCTTCGGCTTCTTCGGCTCCTTCGGCTCCTTCGGCTCCTTTGCCTCGATTGGCTCGAAGGCGGCCTTGTGCTTCTTGGTGCGGTCCTTCCGGTTGACGCCCTCCGCAGGGTTCTCCTCGCAACCATCTTTCCATGCCTGAAAGCATGCCCACATCTCCGACTCTTTCTCATCGTCCCACTCATCAATAGGCTTGGATGCCTTCTGCTTTTTGCACTTGTTGTGAACATTGTTCGCAACAGCGGCTGGCGTTGGGAATTTCCCCGGAGTCTCAAACCGTTTCCAGCCACTCCACACAGGCGCACTGGCTGCTGCGCTTTGCTTGGAGTGTGCTTCTGTAGTCCCCGAGTCCTGACCAGCAGCATCGGCTTCTGCGCCCCACCAACCCACTTCATCTTCCGTCTTGGAGGCCGGGCGGCGGCGCTTTCTGCCTGGCTTGAGATGCTTCGCTAAGTCTTTGCGAAGCTTGTTCTGCTCCGCCGGGTCCACCATCACCAGAGGTGCATCCACCTCACAGCTCGAGAAAATATAGGGGTGCTCAGGCACGTCCGATTTTGGAAAATGCACCCGTTAAAAGGTGAGGTGGTCAACTGCCCAAATTCGCGTCTTAATGGATGGCCATATGCATTTGTCCGTCCACTTTACCCCAAAAACGACTGAACAAAGCAGCAACTTGGCTATCGGTGCTGAAGAAACTGCATGCATGGTCACAGTGATCGGCACGCATGTCTTTGACTTGGCTTTTCCTCTACACGCGCGTGTGGGCAATGTGCTATCACACGCGTATAAGATCATATATGGGCGCGGAGATCAATGGCCCATGCACCCTGCCTTCTCCGGCGTCTCGTCAACAAACCCCTTGTCCACCGGCTGGGGGGTCTCCATGGTCTCCCTCTCCACGATCTGGTAGACCTGTGTCTCCTCCTGAAGGCACACGACCCACGCATGCAAGTTGCGAAGCTCGATTTCCAATTCGCAGATAATTAGCTGGGACCGACATATATTTGACCCGCGATCATGATTTCGCGACCGAAGACCCGAGCGAGAATCCTGATCTGGGTTGCCCCGAAGCACAGGTGCAGGATCCGCAGGTTCCCCATCACCAGGATCCGCAGGTTCCGAATCACCTGGCGCAAGCCGGATCAAGCCGGCCGGTACAAACGCATGCACGCATGCATTTTCACCGGGAGTAGCCGTGTCGGTTGCATGCCCAAGGAAATTCACCCAAAGGTGCAAATAGATCGGAATGATACGCATGCATGCATGACATGCATGCAAATGCAAAAAAAGTGAATATATAGGGCCGCCTTCAGTGTGCTCCTTGTTCGAGATCTGGCTTTTTCTCCGTCCTATAGGGCCAATAAAACCAGAAATGAGCAATCGCTAAAAACCATAACAGGGGAAACAGCAAGTGCAAAAAAAACTCGGGATCCCTCCGCAGGCCTCTCTGCCCGCACTGCCGCAATCTCTGCCAGCAGCGCTGCCAGCTCGGCTTCAAGCTTGCATTTCTCATCGTCCTTCTGCTCCGTGTCATCCTTCTGCTGCTTGTCGTCCTTCTGCTGCTTGTCGTCCTTCTGCTGCTTGTCGTCCTTCTGCTGCTTGGCCTTCCTGGCGGCCTTCCTGGCCTGACGCTCGAGCTGATCGCTCTCCTCGTTCTGCTCCTCGCTCTCCACAGCCGCCGCATCTGCGGAGTTCATCATGTCGCAGTCCTCATAGCTCGGCACCTCGGAATCGCTGGACTCCTCGTCCGAATCATCATCCTCCTCCGAATCGGAGCCCTCACGGCTGAAGTCGTGAAGCACCTTGAAAATGGCCCGCACCGATTTGTCCTAGCACGCAGAAGGAATCACAAAAGCATGCTTAAGTACCGAAAACAAAAAAAGGGGAAAATCACGAAAGCATGCATGTACCGAAAACAAAAAAAGAAAAAGGATGATCGCCAGTTGCCGGTCTTTACCGGCATGCACTTCACCCCCAAAAACCAGCAACCGTGACTGAAACAAAGCAATGCTGGCTATCTGAGGCGCTCTTGGTGTCTGATCCCTTCTCAAGGCATCCCTCTGTCTTCTCCGGGCGTATGTGTACAAACGCCGCACCAGCCATGCGTCCACGTAGCACTGCGTCTTGTTCGGGATGCAGCTGAAGCTCTCGTAGAGCTTGTAGATAGGCTGCATCAACGTTTTCACCTTCACCTTCTTCGGGGCATACCTTTGAGCCACTGCAAGAACCGCGTCCGCATTGCGGGCCAATGCCATAGTGCTCATCACCCGGTCCCCCTCCGCACCCTCGGCCTCCTGCTTGTTGCCAGGGACATCCAACCACTCCGATCCAGCCTTCATCCTCCGCCTGATGACCCCCGCAGCTTCCCAAGCCTCCACCAGATCGCGATCGGTTTCAAGGCGTGCCATGGTACAGCACCGACCAACCTATAGCCAAGTTATCTGCTTTTTTAGTCACTGGATGCTGCTGGTCGTTGGGGTAAAGTGCATGGAAAAAACAGCATCTGGCGATCCCAAAACCGCAAAGCCAAAATGGCTGCACTGCGCACATGCGATTGTGTCCGATCGAATAATGCATCTGTCAAAGGTCCCGAAAACCCCGAAAAACAACGGCCCGGGCATGCATGGCCTCCCACACCCAGCCTTGTGGCTGACGCCCACCTGTCGCAGATCGCGCGAGCAGCGCGCCAATCTCCTGCCACGGGATACGATGTGATACATCGAGCTGCATGGCACGTGATCCTCATGCCAAGAATTCTAGAATTCATGCATGTATACCTCCGCGTGCAAGCTCCATGTCTTCTCGCATGTCACGCTGGGGTCCCATTCCAAAAAATAAAGATCATGATCTGCCCTACACCCCGCTACTTGCAAGAGAATGCAGTCCTTGACGATCTCGAGGTCCCGATCACATCAGATGACCATGGCTGCAGCAGAAAGCTTTTGCACGGGTCCCTGAAGTTGGTGATCTGTTGCAAACATGCGATCTGAAGTGGGTGATCCATTGAAAATGCATGTTCGGTCCACTGGGATGATCAGTTTCAGTCACAGTGACAGAAAAAATGCCACTTATACTAAAGTGGCGCAACAAATCAGTCACTTTCACAAAGTGGCAATTATTCTGTCACTTCTGTCACTTCTCCAAAGTCGCTGCTTAAAACCAGCACCTGCGGCGGTCCAGGTGGACACATGTTACGTTTGTTCCAAAGAATTTGATAGGAATTACGTTGTTTGTTTTGTTCTAGGGCTGTCTTTTCCCTAGCCTGGGCTGGTTTTAAGGCTGGCTGAGATCTTGAGGGCGGGCCTTGGGTTGGTTTGGGCTTCATTGGGCCTTAAGGGATCCAACAGAAAGCTCATAGCCTGGACACTCGAGAAAAAACCTATTCAAAACAACTGGAAAACCAGTGGGAATCCACCCCCTGTTGGACACCTCATAGCCTGGACACTCGGAGAAGAAAAACGAATCGGGGAATCCACCTCATGTTGGGGCAATCACCAAATACTTAACGCCATGTTGAGGGTCCGTTGTGCGGTTTGATGACAGCAATATGTCTTCAAACTGCAACGATGTGCATGTTTCTTGTTTGTCGGTTGTTTCTTTCTTCTTATAGATCATGGATACCCATATATATATATATATATATATATATCAAAACTGCCTGGCCCTACCTAGGGCCTACCCGATGCGGCTCTTTTACCTGCATCAGCTCGATGTCCAAAAAGGTCCGCTGCGATACAAGACACATGAGTGTGCTCCACCGTTGACACTCGTCTATGTGAAAAAAAAAAAGAGGGACCCGGCCTCGGCTCAGTTCTTGAACTTTCGCACCTCGGTGCTGTTCGGATACATCACTGCGGGCTTCTCCGACTTCATGGCCCTCAGATAGCGGGCCAAATCTTGCACCTTGATGGAAGAGCCACGATGGCTCAGGATGAACTTCACGTAGGTCAACATTTCCGGGTCCGAATCCTGGTACAGCTTCCAGATCTCCGCGTAGCTGAGCTTGCGGTGAACCACTTTTGGAAGCTCACACATGGTCAGACCCCACTGTTCGAAGGTCTGGACTCCAGGAGGAAGGTCTGCCTGTGACAAGTGATCCTTGTCAGCGCTGGACGTCGTCCCAGGAGTCTTGGCCATCTTGCGGTTGGGATAGCTCAGGGACTGCTTCTCGGAGACCTCTGCGCAGGCAGCGCCATCGAGCGAAGAGCCAGACACCTGTTCCCAAGTGTCGTCAGCAGCATCACTCAGCCGTTTGGAGGCATCGGTCATGCCGCCAGCTGTCATGCCACTGTAGCTCTCCTGGATGAGTTGCAAGATCTCCGGGAGAAGGCCTTCATTGCGGAGCGTACCCAGGGTCTGGTAGAACTGGGTCATCTCTTCCGGCGACAGCTTTGGAGAAGACATCACGACACCAAGGATTGGGCAAATTGACACTGGTGCGCACACACTGAGCCACTGTTCGGGATATACAAGCGAACCTATTCTGCAAAGTGATTTAATCACAGGTATGCAGATGCACTGATGCTGAAGTAAACTAAAGATATTAAACAAACAACCAACCTGTCAAACCGAAAAACTACTCATAGTTCCCCATTGACTTGCAGGCACTTATACAGCTGATTCAACCTACGCACCTTCCCCAGGTGCTTTCTGCGGACACATCAAAGCTTTGCGTCTCTGGAGACCCTCGCGGAATTCACGTTTTGCCGCAAGGACTGAGGCCTCGGGTGCCAGTTGGTAGGTGCCAATTCGGAGAGCAGCACGGAGCAGCTCAGCTGGCTCAGCACGGTCCTTTGTGAAACAGTCTGCCAGCATGAGAGTGGTTGGGCACCAACGAATACGCAAACCTGCCCTGGCCACTGCTTGCTTGATGATTATTAGGTCTATAGCTACCCGCTTATCATCAGACTTAGTGGAAGGGCTTAAGCTATTCAGGGCATCATACAAACTCTTACAGTCCGTGATTCCTATGATTCGAGTTTGATCGCTAAGGGGGTTGCCTTTGCGCAAGTCATAGGAACCCAGCTTGGCTTCAGAAATCATGCATGACATCCACTCAGCCACGCCACAGGCTGTGGAGAAACATTGCGTTTCCCCGGCCAAAGTGGAGGCCACGACACGAGGCAACTTGAAAGATCGCCAGCAAAAGGGTGACCACGGCGCTTCCTCATTTGCTTCCAACTGTGAAGAAGTAAATGCAAGAACATAACCGGCTTGGGTACCCTGTTCTGACGCATTGTTGAAACCCGCATCGGAGTGAAAACACACGTGAAGATCTTCCCAAGGAACATGCTTGACGACTACCTCAACATTACTATGCTGTCTGGCACGATGGACAAGCTGATTGGCATACAACAAATCTTTGACCTTGGGAGTGGGGAAGCACTGCTGACTGAAAGACGTCTGCACACACAAGTCTGGTCGGCTTTGGCCAGCAAGCCAATTGGCCGCACCATTGACAGCTCTCAAGGCGGCTACTTCTCGGCTTGAGGCAATGGCCTCCTTGTTCGCAAGGCGATCTCGACTCATGCTGATGGGTCTCAAATGCTTGGCATAGTCGGCTTGTTGGTATGTGATCTCTTTGGATAGGGGATCCTGAGTGTACATGGTCCCACAGAATTCACCGTTTCCAATGCGCCACTTGCGATAGGGAAAGCGTTGCTTCAATGAGGCGATCTCAGCACCCTCTCCTCCAGTGATGGTATCATCCACATGCGCACCTAGCACTCCACTTAACGTGGAAGTGGAATCCCGGAAGAAGTACAAGCAGTTATCGAACTGACTCTTTTGAAAACCTACTTGCTGAGCGGCTTCATCAAAGGTGCGGTACCAATTGAAAGGCGCATCATTTTGTCCGTAAACATTTCCCAACACTTCAATCAAGGCATCATGGGGTATTCCCGGAATCCCCCCTGGTGGCTGCTGTGCAAAAAGAGGTCGGAACTTTTGATCAAGTGGACCAGCCTCAAGAAAAGCACCTTTGATATCCCCTAGGCACATGGTCCACTTCTTGCTTACCAAGATTTGAAGGATGAGGGCACGGGACAATTGACCTAGCGTCGGACAAGGGCAGGCCCCAGACAACACTTTGTCTCGGACATCTGGGTCCTTGTGTCCTTGCAGACACCACCGGGCTTTGATGCGGTCTCCTTCCTCATCCGATTTTTGAGTGATCACAAACCGGCTACCGACAAAACGATTGGGAAAACGCTTGGCTAGGTCCTTAGCGTGTTGACCGACCCACACTCTGACAGCACCCTTACCGGAGAGGGTTTCCCATTCAGTGCTACGGGCTTCATCTACGGCTTCCTGGAGAGGTTCAGGATTTCCGCTTGGAGGCAGCTCCTTCTGTGCTCGTTTCTGCAAGAAACCTGCCAAGAGCACTTCAATGGGAGAACGACCAGGCATTGAATCCTCAAGCTGACACATGAGTTCATCTTCAATCTCAACTCGAGGTCTAGCTACATCCGGTGCTTCAGGGGGCTCGGCACTGGCTTCTCGCTTACTGGCGGAAGTTCTTGGACTAGCCGGAGCCTTTCCGGCTGTGGGTGACGACTCCACTGTCGCTGGCAGCAATCTGGGCACTAGATCTTGCATCATTTCGGCGAAGTCTTCGAATTTCTCCTCGTCAGGACGGCTGAGAGGAGTGTCCCGAGGATCCGATTGCTTACCTCGACATCTTCGCACTGGTCCATAGCCAGGAGGCAACTTTGGCTCAGGGCTCACAGTTCCTGGGGTTGACGCAGCTTGGGTCTGTTGCAAATATTCACCGGGGCCCAAATTTTCTGGTCGACTACCATCGGATCCACTGGGCGCATCACGGAGTTTTGCAGCTTGCTGAGATGCCAGAAGCTGGGCTGCTGTCTGGCCGGCACTTGGTCTCTCAGGCCTGGGAGAATCTACGGTCTCAGGTACAGGAGGAGCAGGCTGCATCACAAGATCTATGAACTGGCTTTTAGGAAACTGTCCCTTTTCAAGGAGGTTGCGGATTCCCAACAGCTCATTTTCTGAGAATTCAGCCACGATCTTCTCCTCCGGCACTGCAAAACGCAACTGTTCCGGAGCGCACCGCAGAATGCTCCGGCGATGGGCGACTACTAGACTGCGACCCAGCTTGCCTAGAATCAAGGCAGCACCATACCATTGACCCCCATCGACCTTAACTCCATTTATCCACTTCTGACTTCGCCAGTAGTAGACCCAATCGCCGGACTGGAAGTCTCTGGCCGGGCGAGGTCTTGCACGGAGGGCAGCCCTCAAGGCTCGGTCATCTTGGCACTCAAGCATCGCTTTGCGAGCTACCTGTCGAACACTGTGCGCTTGCGAGCACACGGGATCATGCTCTGTGGCATCGACAGCGGGCACATGCGGATGATCCTGCAACAAGTCCTGTGGCACTCTGGGATTGCGACCAAACACAAGTTGATAAGGACTTGCACCTGCTTCAGACAACAAGGTATTTTTGGCTGACTGAGTCTGGGAGAGGCACTCTCGGTAGGATTCCAGGGTTTCAGGGCGCACATCATCAAGAACCCGTTGCAGAATTCGCTGAAACCACTGACCATGCCGCTCAACCTTGCCCAGTTGCCATGACGCTTCAGCTGCGGTGAAGCTTACCTCTATGCCAAGGTTATTACAGAAATCGCCCAGACATGCGCTGAGATTTGGCTTGGATGGGTCCATGACTAACATTTTGGGGGGACCGGCCCAGCCAATCCAGAAATCCTGAAGGGCATCACGCAACAGGGGTCCTGTTTCGGGCTTGTGCAAGGGAATGATGACCTGCAGGGAAGAGGCGAAATCCACAAGATTAACACATGGGACTTTCTGGTTGGGCTTCCATCCTGGCAGGTACTTCACATCCATGCCTACCTTAGCATTGAACTCCGTAACACGAGATGCGTTAGCAGGCAGGGCGGCAGCTGGGCGGTGCTGATTTGCACACACGGCGCACTGCAGCAGCTGCGCTCGAGCAATTGCATGATCACTTGCTCGGCTGTGCTTGAGGACCCGAATCAACTCCCTTTGAGAGGGGTGCCCCAAATTGCTATGCAGCTTTTTGAGGGCAGCGTCGATGCGAGAGTGATCCTGCTGCTCTTCCTGATCACTTGCTGGAGCATCAGCTGCAAGGCACTCCAAATCAAGGTCCGCTAAGGCAATCTCCCGAGCTTGCAGGGCTGTGGGAACACTTGCCAGTAGAAAGGACCGTACAAACTTGGGAGTGTAGCTGGCAGTGAAGGCGCTCAACAGTTGTCCTGATTGCGTTCTACCTGCGATGGTCTGATGTTCAGGGCAACCGGGGCACAACTTCAGCACTCTAGCCAACTCGGATCGGGAAAACATCAAGCCTGTTTGCTTCTGGATAGGTCGATGCGAGTCAGGACATTGTAACCCGAAAGCACACATGTCGATGCGGTTCACTCCAAACTTGGATACCAAATACTCAAGAATGGGACTCTTCCATACACGGGACCTCAGGGGATGCTCGAAGAGAAAATCTCCACCACGATCAAGCTGCTTTCGGATCTGACGTTCGCAAAATCGGACTTGCTGGCGAGCGATGCGGATAAGACGAGCTCGCTCGGCGGCCGTCCTGAAATATTGATTGAGGTTATCCCATCCGCCCCAGTAAGTGCACGGGGGACACACAACCAACAACTCAGGGCAAGCTTCATCCAACATGGCATCAACTTCCTCTTGAACGGAGGGGTCCAAAAGATCCCAGCCCTGTTGGATATCAAATGACAGGCCGTCGAGACCGATCTGCTTAGCTGCCTTTGCAAAACGAGGCGGTGAGAACAGCTCAGCAACAGCCACCCGGCTGCGGCTCTTCATTTCGCACCTGCGGAGTTGGGCGAGCAAACATCGACACTCTTTGCGTTTGAGCGAAACTTTGGATTTTTCACGGGGAGGAGTACACTTGATCACCGGTTGGTCTCTCGGGTGACTGGCACGCCTTGGTTCGGAACTCTTGTCACTTGGGCTTATCGGAGCAGGCTTACTTGGGGAACTCTTATTAGTGGCTGGAGCCTGCAGTGCACACTTGCTCCTGGCTCTGGCGCAGGCCTCAGCACTGGGGAAGTCCAGAATGCTCACCAGAAGCTGTCCAGCTTGGTTGGTCACCATGGGTACCGCCTCCGATTGCTTGAGCAGGTTCATCCGGCGATTGGCAAAGTCCAACCCAACCTCCAACTTCTCCAAGGACGGACGTCCTAGCAGAAGTGGAGCTCGACCTTCGATCACCGCAGCATCGATGTACCCGAATCTCTTGCAGATGCCCACAGGGATCCGGACAGACATGAGAGAAGTCTCTGTCTGGCCATTCCCAAACCGGAAAACGTTCTCGTGGGGGTACTGCAGAGGTTCGTCCTGGCCAAGGTTGGTCAACTGAACCTGCAGCTTGTCCAGCGTGGAGCGACCGATCAGAGTGCGACCGCAGCCGCTGTCTATCACGCCGTAACCCGGAGATGACACCAGGCCTCCCTCGGTCTCCGCATCCATGCTGAAGATCTCGGCCGCCCCTATGAAGATCACGTCCTCCTCTTCCTCCGCCACGGGTCCGCCTGATCCAGTTTCAGCCAGATGCACATCGGCTGCAGCAGAAGGGGGTAGCTCCCGGTTGCTGGCCGAGGACCTGAACGACGGCTTGGACGAGGATGACGTGTTGGTCGTGCGTCGGCATTCTCTGGCCCAATGACCAGTCCGGCCGCATTTGCGGCACTGGGTGCGTTTCTTCAGCTCCTCAACCTCGATGCGAAAGGACCTGCGAACATCCTTGACCGCCCCAAACTTCCGGGATTGCTGCAGCTTATTGATTTCTGACCGGCGGTCCTTCCAGCTGACAGCTAGCGCCTCGGCAGCATCAGCTTCGGGGATGGTCTCATCCTCCATTGCAGAGTGCTGTTGGTGGTCGGCAAGGAAAGTCTCGACGTCGAGAAAGTCCTCATCAGGATCCGGATTGCCGATGCAGTTTCCATCTTCCTCGACAACAAGCGTAGACACTGGCCTTCTTGCTTTGGAGGACGATGCTCGATAGGCCGGAAAGCAAGACCGCAAAGCTGCTGCTATCTTCTCACTCTCCAAGTTCCCTTGAGTCTTTGCCTTCACAATCGCCTTCTGCTCCTCATTGAGTCCGGCGCAGTGCAGCATGATCCAGCCTTGAGCTTCCGAGGGGAACTTCACCTGGGCCTTCCTGAAGCATTTCTGGAAGACTTCCTGCACGCGGGACGTCCAGAACTGCATGGTTTACTATCGGCGGCAGCAAGAGCAAAAACCTCTCCAAGGGCTTCGCCCATCTGATCGTGGGGCTCCTTCTCAGGGAAGCGCTCGGAAAGCAGTCGCCAGAGCATCTCGGCACCTCCTTCTTGGTGGAGGTCATTCAGTTCCAGGTGTTCCACAGCGTCCCAAGCTTTACCTTCGAGCAGAGTGAGAAGCCAGGGTCCTTGCTGCTTGGGGCTGAGGTCCTTCATGGTGATCATCTTGGCCTGTGCCCAAGCCTTCCATCGCTTGAGCTGCTTGCCAGGATCATCTTCTTCGCCATTGAAGCGGCGCACGCCCCGCTCCTCCATGGCTCCACCGTTGTACACGGTCGCTCACCTAAGCGACCCTTTTCAGATGCCCGGGACAGCCCGGGCTCCGCTACCAATATCAAAACTGCCTGGCCCTACCTAGGGCCTACCCGATGCGGCTCTTTTACCTGCATCAGCTCGATGTCCAAAAAGGTCCGCTGCGATACAAGACACATGAGTGTGCTCCACCGTTGACATATATATATATATATGTAGGCTTATGGAGGTCAAACAAATTAGGTCATGCCTCTGGTGCTCACTTGGGATGGAACACATGTGTGGAGATCCGTCTTTTTCGACGACATCCAAACTCCGAACTCGTGCCCTTGGTGCCTGGACTCCAACTCCACCCCACAAGACACGGGGGGGTAGGCCCTTTGGGGTAAATGAACCCAAGGGGTTGCCCTCGGTCAAGCATTTATGGTGGCAACTGGAAGCACTGAGCTTTGGTTTGGTTCGTTCGGGGATTCCTCAAATACAGATTCCTCAAATCCGGACATATGGATCGGTACCCAGGGACGCTCGAAGTTGGAACTTGACCCGCCCTGAAAAGATACGAGGGTGTGACCCCCGCCCAAAAGAACGATGGACTCGGGTTTCCTTTTAGTTGTCCACTACAACCACCAACAAATTGGGCACCTTTGAAGAAACAAAACACCGATCAATTCGCCAGAAGTGCCCGAAATCCGTGCTACAACCCGAGCCATCCGAGCCACTGACCTGTACAACAGATCGCTGGAACAGTGGTGAGAAAAGAAACAAAAAAAGCTGTTATAAAAGTATATAAAAGTTGCCACTGGGGTTTGCAGCTAGGTTGGTTGCTTTCAGAGATACAGATAGTTGCAAAGGTCTACAATGTCATCCCAAAGAGAAACCCATCCAACGGTGGCAAAGGGGGAGGAGGGGTCAGCCGGAATATGTTCAGGAGACTCCCATTAGAAGCAGCTGTTCGAGAACAAACTAGCCGGTGTTTGAGATCCTCCCTTTTGTTTGTGTGCTTGTCCATCCACTTCTGCCAAACAAGTGCTTCCCTGCAGCTCAACATGAAGCACAACAGCTGCTTTGTAGAGGAAACTCCTGCTGCGGGGCCATGTTTTTTTCGGTTCCAGGTTAACTGCCTGGGAAGCAAGCCATCTCTGGCATCCATAACAGCGACACACAGACGCGCCACATTCGAAGCGCAAACGCTCGCGCCTTGAAGAAACCAGCAGCCACATCCAGGAGATCCTTATCCATCCCAGTGATGCCGGCCAACTATCTAGTAGGTAACCAAGGGCTTGCCACCCAATGAGAAAATCAGAAAGGGACGCTATAGGGCCCCTATTCTACAGTGCTCTTAACCCCACGGTGGTTTCAGACATGTGATGCACACCCTGAATCTCTGACGCACATGGAGCTCTTCCTTATTTTGCAGTTCTTCTCTCTTTGCCAAAGACAAAAATCACACGGACCGTCCGGAGGCTCTTTCTCCGTGGATCGAAACGGATCTCGATCAAAATCCACTGATCCACCGAGAAGAAAAAAAGAACAAAACACCCCGGGGCCCGGCGAAACGGAGTCCAGGCATCTCCATGACCTTTTTCCCAGCCCAGCTTCTTCGTCACTCGCCAAGCCATTTGCTCTTTTTTTTCTCGTCTCCTGGGACAAAAAAAATCAAAAAACCAAGTCTCTCGTCTCCCGGGACAAACAAAGAAGGGGACAAAACATCAAAAACAAACAATTAGTCCGGTAGGGATTTCGATTCCCTTGAAGGCCAACAGGGGAAATCACGGCATCTTATTCAGCAGATGGAAGTTACCCATGAGAGGTGGTATCTCCTGAACAAAGCCTTGACAGCTGCTCCGACCCCTTTGGCCCTATCGACCCCATAGCTGAATCAGCTGTTGAGAAAACATTTCACCAGGTCACTGCCATGACATGGTGCTGCCAGAGATCGACATCACTGAACAAATGACCGGACAATTTGCCCCCATCCCCCTCCCCCCCCAACACAAGCCAGTCGATCAATCAGCTTTGGTTTGGGTGGCGACTCGCCTTGCAGATCGGACCGTCTTTGTTTCTATATATGGCAACCAAGCAATCCTTCTTGTTTCAAAGGGCGGCTTCAAAGGGGTGTGTGTGTGTGTGTGTGGTTTTAAAGTTTTAGCGGACCCCCGCCCAACGGAAATGTTCCTTTTGGTCTCCCTCAAAAAAAAACTTGCAGGGCACTCTCAAAAAAGGAGAAAAAAAAACAGGACTCTGGTGCTAAGGTTCATCACAGGGCAGGGTCGTCATTTCCGCCGCTGGGGCTCCCAAAATGTCCACCGCAAGCATCACCTCACCACGAGGCGACCATCGCAAAGTGGCCACCAACATGGGCTTCGGGAACTTTAGTTCCCCCCTCCCTCCCGGCCCCTGAAAAATGAGTCGAGTCAAGGCACCATGCCGTCCTCGGGATTGAAGAGACTCGTGGCGGCTTCCGAGATGCACTCCTCGCACTCCGATTCGCTCCGAAAGCCCGGCCAATCGGATTCTGCTGCATATATTGGTCTACTCGCAAAATGCTCCCCTGCCAATCAAATACCCCAAGAGGAGGTCCCTAAAACTTGGTTGCTTTCTGCTGACGAGATTGTTGGCTTTGCTCGCTGCGAATTTGGGCCTTTCAGGCTTCGCCGCTCCCTGCGCTAAACCCCTTCGAAACCCCGCTTTGAGCGGCCCTCTTGGACTGTGGATGGACAAAATCCTGCACCACCTAAGACCTGGCATGATGCTTCCCCAGTAAATGCCAACAAACAGTGATTTTTCATGGTGTCATTTCGTGGTGCGAAATGGTTTTCGCAGCCATCCAAAGTAGGTTATGACCCATTTATAGCTAATTTTGCCGAACATTCAAGTATGTGCAGTAGGACATTTGGTCAAGCAACCCCTGTCCCACTGGCAACCAACGGGTTGGACATCCAAGCCTTGGCAACCAATGGGTTTCCCTTTAAAGCCCCGACAGGGGAAAGCGAAAAAGAGGAAGCAACATTCACATAGCCAGTGGATCCATTTGGGTGTGCCTTATTTTAGGAATCGGATCCTTCCCAAAATGGCCAACCTCTGAGGCGACAGGGGAGTAACATATCTCACTTCCTGAATAAATGGGTCCACAAAAGGTAACCCAAACGTTTTGTGCAAACCACTGAAATGGTCCAAACCCAAAACCCAACAAGTGACATTCAGTCCAAAACGGAACTCGGGGAGTGAGACGAACGGTTCATCCAAACCACCAATTCAAACCACGAACATTCATTTGCTTAAGTCCCCTGAAAAAAAGCAGAAGCCAAAATCATGTCCACTAACCAGCAGTGATCGATTCCCCTTTAAAGCAAACCGGGTTTGAATATTCGCTTGAATTGGGGGTGTCTTTTTCTGAGGGTGCCCCCTTTTAGTCGGTTTTACCCGGGAGAGCCCAAAGGCCACCAAGAGCCATAAACACCCCACCGAGCGCCGAAAAAAGAGAGCGCTCCGTGAGGATCTCCATGTGCCGCGCCGCAGCTCTCCGCCGCTGCTCCGCCAAAACTTGCAGCGGCTCCGCCTCCGCCTGAAGGTCAAAGCGAGTCGGAGATCGGCTTTTTTGGGGCGTGAGGCGGGTTGGGTGGAGTGAGAAGAGCTTCAAGTTCGCCTAAAGGGAAGCCCAGTTCGCTTACCGTGTTTTTGTTTTCTTTAAACAAAAACATGACTCAGTTGGTTTGGAGGCCCACGGGGATTATATTTTTTGTTTGATAAAGGTACCCTGCAAAACTCTCTCACACACACACATTTCGTCAGTACCCAGGGACCCGATGCAAATCACCTGTGGGCTAAATGAGTCACAATCAATACCTGGTATTCAAATGGTCTACCCAGAGCCATGTAAAGAATTACCAAGGCGGATATGTGCAACTGTTTTAGCTGGGATTGTCCCTTACTAACCTTCATCTACCCGGGTTTTGATTGTGGCTCAACCCTTGACGCCGCCGAAAACAAACACCAACGAACAAGGAACGCAGCAGCCAAACGGCCAACCAACAAACCAAACAAGCAACCAACAAACCAAGCAACCAACCAACCAAGCAAGCAATCAGAAAAGGCAGGGCAAGCCAAGCCAAGCCAAGCCAGCCCAATCAATCAGCCAAGCCAAGCCAAGCCAAGCCAAGCCAAGCCAAGCCAAGCCAAGCCAGCCCAACCAATCAGCCAAGCCAAGCCAAGCCAAGCCAAGCCAAGCAAAGCCAAGCCAAGCCAAGCCAAGCCAAGCCAAGCCAAGCCAAGCCAAGCCAAGCCCAGCCAACCAACCAATCAGCCAAAACCAACACACGCACTGCAGGTTTCACATCTCGCCTCCTCCATGCCATCCAGCGGACCGAGAGGTTCCGGGCCTGTGCTAAATTGGCTGGACTCCAGCCTCTGCAGCCAGGGACTTGTTTTAATAGATCTGGGGGTTAACGGTGGTTTTGTTTGTCTTTTTTTTCTAGGGCTGTTTTTTTCTTTCCCAGGGCTGTTTTTTTTGCCTAGGGCTGGTTTTTGTTCCTAGGGCTGGTTTTCCACAGGACTGGCAACATCCCCAGCATCACCAGTATCACTTGGACCAACCAACCAACCAACCAACCAACCAACCAATCAACCAACCAACCAACCAACCAACCAGGGGACCAGCCCTAGTGAAAAGAACAAACAGCCCTAGGAAGAAACAACGGATCCAGGTCTGGGGCGTTGATCAAAATCCCGGGCCCCCCAAATGACAGGCATATTCTATCTTTTAAGTGGCTTTGCCCAATGCTCATCCCATGCAAAGCAGCGTTTGATCACCATATGGCTCAAGGCTGTTTGAACAAGTTGAATCGGTCTCGCTTGCGTTCTGAGTGCAAAAGAAGCAAGAGAGAATCCGTTTCAAAGCAGCAGGGTGCAAGTATATGAATATATATATATATATAGGTATGTAGATATATATATATATATTATATTTCAAATACACATATTAATATGCATATATTACTTCCTTACAATCTTCCTGCGGATGCGCGAAACCACCTCCGAAACCGCCGGAGTGCGGAGCTCTCTCTGTGCGTCCCGAGCCGTACTTGGAACTTGGAACTGGGCCCCAGGCTCAGCAGGTGGTCTCGGAGGTGCGAGCCTCGAAGGCAGAGATTTCTCACTGAAGGTCCTCCAGAGAGGATAGATTGGAACAGGTTGATTGGGGGGTTTGCAGGCCAAAATTCAAGGCTTTCTTGTGCCAGGACAAAGGAACGGGTCTTTCTCAAAATTCAGACCCTCCAGTAGAGAGGATAGAATAAGATGGTACCAACTTTTTTCGGTAGCCTATTTCTTGCTTGACGTTGGAAGGGGAGCAAAAAACATGTTTGTAGCAGTTAAGTGGTTGGATTTCAACCACTAAACCACAATAAGCAAAAATGGGAAAAAATGTGTCCCAACAACAACCATGATTTTGTAGGGTCCCGAACCCTCCCAACCAAAAAAGGGGTGAGAAAGGGCACTTAGCTGAAAGACCTGGGAACATCGCCTCAGGCGCACTTCTGCCACCCCAGGGAGAGCCCTTGGGGAGCCAACTCGGGTGTAGAAATTCGTGGCCATGAAATGCAGTGCAAACAAATGGGGTTGAAAGATCGAGGGCACCCTCCCAACCAAAAAAAGGGAGAACAAGGGTACTCGTTTTTCTTTTCTTTTTTTTCTGCGGTAGTCTATTTTAGGGGAAATGTCCTGTGGGTTATGTCGGGGAGTCTCAGCTCCACTTTTCGGAGACCCGCGCCCCGCGCCTGACTTCACAAGCAGCGCCCAGAGCGCCGGCAATCGCATCAGCATGCCGTCACCTCTTTTTTGCCCGGCACCCCCAACAAGGTGCTTGTTTTACATTTGGTGTCCAGTTAAAAGCCAACCAACAAGGGTACCCTCAAAAAAGACAGATCCAAATGGGGGGGCCATTCAAATCAAAATATGTCCTCAAGCGGGATTGCTCAAAACCTAAACTCGCCCACAAACTTCCGAGGTCCTGCGCAAAAGGTCGAGTCAGTGCTTTCGCAGGTTCGGAACAGTTATTGCTTTCCAAAAGTCCCTTTTAGGGTGTTTTGGGTCTTGAAAAAGACCGAATCGTCATTGGACATGGAACCCTGAAACAGTCTGGAACACCATCTAGGTCCTCCAGTAGGGAGGCCAAAGTTAACTTGCTGGTTGACAGTACCGTGAGAGGGGATCAGTATCTACAACCAGACCTTGAGGACAAGAATTGCCAGACCTCTCGCACAAAGTGTGCTACGGGCACTGTCAGACCCCGCCTTGAATCCTCTTGCCGATGTACCTCGGCGATTCAAAGGCTGCATATGTGAACCCAGCGCCATTTCAGGCCTCTTTCGTTTTGTTTCCCTTGATACGATGCATCATGCACTTTCCAATCCCAGATGGTCCAAGCTCCCCACACTTATGGTTTTAGATTTGGGTCAATTACAGATTCCTCAAATTTTGCCGCAAATATAAGGTACTCGGACCCTTTGGGCTTCATATACCCTGGGTTTGATCGTGATTCCTACCAACCCAATCCCCAGCTTAATGGCAGAGGCTTATCCATTCATCCTTAGTACGTGAAACAATGAGTCATCCGCTGAGCAAATCGGGCCGTCAGACCTGCAAACTCACATCCCCCATGGAAAGGTTGACTCACTTCCCATCGAACGGATGGCCAAACCCCCAAAAAGGGTCACCTACGTAAGCTTTTGCGCAAACCACCAAAACTTCCTTCCGATGGAGTGGACTAGCCAGAAACGTAACCAGACTTTTTGTTTCCCACTCAAATGATCCTCCCAAGAAGTTCTTCAAGTCCAAGAATGGTCGAAACCCAAGTGAGTACAGTCCGAAACGGAACTCGGGGAGTAAGGCTTCCCCACTGTTGGTGGATTGCATGGGCGGTTTGGAAGGGGTTGAAGCCCTGGTTCTTATAGAGTTCAATTGGGAAACCACTCGCAACATCGCCAAACCGTGAATTCGAGGAAAGCCCAAAATGCCTTTCGCTGAAATCGCAAACATATGGGTGTGTCTGTTTTTGGGCCCCCCTTTTGCCCAAAGTTTACACGGTCTATTTGAGTCTTTGGTGCAACATACAAGCTGGGGCACAGGTTCACTTTGGGCCCTGCACGTTTTAAACGCCATCTTCAAACACAACACGTTCTTTTTCACGGGGCCCAACAACTTAACACAAAGTGTTCCTCCTGGTTCTCCTCTAATGCTTATGGGTTCCAAAATAAGGTGCTGAACCTGAGGCAAAAAGGTTGGACAGTGTCATCAAATCGGGCTTGACACTGTTCAACAATACTGGTACCCTCAAAAAAAGCCCTGGTAAACATCTGGCAAAGCAACGCATTCAGACCCCACCCCACCCAACCCAACCCCCCCTACCACCCCACCCCACCCCACCCCCCAAGTCCACCTTCTGTTGGTCACCGAGGCGCGCCTGCAGCACCGCCTGGGTGCGGCAGGTTTGAAGGCCTCGATCTCCGGGTGCTTTCGACTCGGGTCGCTTTGGGGGGTCCCGTGGATGTGGGGAGTCCCGAAACAGGGAGTTGAGCTCAAAGGCTCGGCCGTGGGGAAAAAAAGGGCCTCCGATTTTGTTTGTTTCTGGTGGGTTGACTTTAAAGGGGAACCCTTGCCAAAAGAAGGTTGAAAAAAGGGCACCACCGGGCAACCGGGCAAGGGAAACATCACCCTTTGGGCCACTTGAACATGAGTGTCCACCTGGCAGGGTGATCCTCCGGGAAATACTTTCGGAGGTTTGGGGGGCCATCTAGTGTTGATGCAAGGTGCTATATGATCAACCGTCTACTCCTGCAATCATGACCTACTAAATGATAACAAATCGTTTTTCTTCTCCAGTGACTTGAATTGGTCTCAAAGCAGTTGCCCACCATTTTGTGCATCCTCGACTTCTGGTATTCGCTTGGTAACTTCACCAGCTGAGAGTTATCCGAAGGGAAACTAATCTCGATCAGTATGCCAACTTCTGCTACTGTTAAAACTCAGGGTCATGAACCCCAACAGGGCAAAAAGGCAAAAAGGAACAAAAGTTGGCAAACAGTCTGGGAATGATCAACTTCCCTCTAATTGCTGGCTTGTTTCAAAGGACCACCATCACACACCATTCTCCAGTTTGCCAACTGCCTAGCCGGCACTATTTAAAACATATTCAAGGTTGTTCCTGGGGTCAACGGTTTGTCATGAATTTTGCCAACCAACCAATCAGGGTGACACCCGACAGCCCCCCTCAAAAACTATTCCCAAACCTATTCCAGCAAAGAAGTATTCTAAGGGGGTGATCCCAAAATATGTTTTTAAGGAGTAGGCCATGATTCTGTTTTCCTTTTGGTTTCCGTTTGACACCATCCCAAGAAGAGAACCCTCATGGTGTACAAACCCAGAGCCCCAGTAGCTGTAGAAACGAAGGGCCTTTTGGTAGTTGATCTTTAAGCGAGCCCAAAAAAGAGAAAACGCAGACCCTGGGGTTCAAACCACATCTAAAACAATGGGGGTTCATATAACCACCACCAGTTACCTCGATGTGTTCATCGTTTGGACAAACTGGGATCAACCCATGCTTTTTATGGGGGGGTGAACCCCACCCAGAGCAGACCATGTTGAAAGGGACCCCCCCAAAAAAACAACAACAAACGAAAACGAAGACCCACAACGAGTATGGCGTGGTGTGACAATGGCGGGCTAAAACTCCCCCACACCCGGGCAAAGCAGAGGCGCGTAGCACATGGCTGCGGGCCAGCAGCTGAAAATCCCGCGCCGGCGCCTTGAAGGGCGGTTTAAGGGGTGCCGCACGCGCGCGCGCGCGGGTGTTTGTGTGGTTGGGGAGTTTTTTTTTTTTTTTGTGGTTGGTTCGCGTGGATGGTTTGTGTGGTTGGTTTGTGTGTTGCGCGTGGGAGAGGAGAGGAGAGGGGGGAGGAGTGCAAAGGGGAGTGGAGTGGAGTGGCGTGGAGTGGAGTGGAGTGGAGTGAAGGTAAAGGCGTTGCTGCTCTGTGTGAGTTTGCATCAGCGCAGGAGCTCAAAAACCTGAGCTAGTCAGTGACCTTGAGCTCCAATAGCATTGACACGCTTATAAGAGACACAGTCCTTCACACACGCACGCATGCAGCTTCACTGGAGCTGCCTGCGTACGCCGAAATTCCATGACGTACACCTCAGCACCACAAAGAACAAGGGCCCTGGCCGTTTGCGCCAAATGTGCAGTACGCAGGCGAGGTGCTGCTGCTCAAATCATCCTCTTTCTCGCCGGCCGGGGTTGCCCTAGCCTCTTCCCCTCCGTCTAAGCGTCTCCTGTGCTGACTCTGGTGCCCCCAGGTGCCAACAAGGGCCCAAGATGTTCTGGTCCATGATCTTGCTTTGGATGGCACAGGGCATTGCCATGCCCTTCACTGCCCACAAGTGTCGAGTTCATCCAGATGAGTTTGAGATATCCACCATCTAAGTGGAGCTGAATTCATCCCTTGAACAGGGATCCTTACATTGTACGCCTGAACATTGCCTTGTAAATGGTGGTTTCCCTTTGCTTTGGTGGAAAAAGCCATGCTTCAAATGGGCAAAGTGTATCTTTTAAGGAGCTCTGTTGAAGTTTTGTCTTTTGGAGGGCAACAATGGGGAAGTGTGTGTGTGTGTGTCGGCGAGCCCCGCCCATGAAGACAGGGTGTCTTATTTGGAGAAACACCCAGAGACCATGGCATCACCAGCATCAAAATGCGAAGCTTTGCCAAAATCCCCCCATGTAATCACCCTAGGCATCACCTTTTCAGGTTTACACTTAGTGCTTCGTTGATGCAAGTTGCATTCGCTGTTGGTCAAAATATGTTTCCAACGTGGAACCCTGCCAAATGGAACCAAGAATAAGACGCGCGGCACATCAAAAAACAGACCCAACTTCCCCCTTTTTTGGTGGTTTGAAGCCGAATCGGTGGTTTGGTGGTGAACTGGGGGTCTGCAAGAAGTTGCCCGAGCGTATGGCTATAGGAACTGCCATTTCTACTCACGTCCAGCTTGGATGACTGTCTGATTACCACAAAAATGGTCCAACCCCAAAAAGTGACTAAAGTCCGAGAACTCGGGATTCACCAGGGACCGGTCAAGAACGGCACAGCTATTTAGCTTCAACACCAAAAGCACAAACACGACGACCCGTCGTTCCCCTTGGCTCACTTGTTGAATCCTGCCTCGCTGCCCAGCGCGAGGGATGCCTTCGTGAAGCTCTTGCAGCCTCTTTCAACACCAAGCGCTCGCTACGGATCGAAGTTGGGCAAAATCCCAAGATCCTAGTTGAACGGTGGTTCGTAAGCCTGGTGATACTCCGCTAAACCCCATAAAAAGCGGGTTATAACCAAGGTTAATATCCAGCGATGGAAATGGGCGTGTCGTTTTTTGGGGGACGCACCCCCCCAAGTGCCGCTTTTCCTGTTGGCTTTCCTCAAATTTCAAAAACACCACCAAAAGGGGTAGCTTCAAAAAATTGGCACACCCGTATGAGAGTAAATTTGAAATAACTATGTGGTTCCCTGTACACATGGTCAAGCCACGAGTTTGATTGTGCCTGCAGGGCCTACGAACCACTCCCAAGAGGGTAAGGGGCTAATAAGCCTTATTGAGGCTAAATCACTGGGGGTGGTTCTGTGGGGGTCGATTGACTCACTGAACCAAGTCCACCAAATGGAGCTGGGACGGCAAGTGGGACATAACTTGTGACATAAATGTTAACCTGCTCAAAGACTCGAGAACCTGGCCAAACAAATATTCAGAAGTATGGTCAAGCCAGGCAACAGATTTGCAGGAGCTGGCTTAACCACTAAAAAAAGGTCCGAAAAGCAAAACTCGAAACTGGCTCAAAGGGACAAGGGGTCCCTGTTCAACTCCGCTTGGGGAAATGACTAATGGTCAACGTGCTGCAGGCTAAGCCCAAAAGGGCGAGAGGGCGAGAGGTGAGAGGCAAGATATGGCGTGCCTGCAACCCCAAAACTCATACCAGTTTGATTGGCTTTACAAGGGGAAACAAAAGGCACCCAGTCATTTTCAGGGTTCCCGAAAACAACACGCACCCATATTTAAACAAAACCAAAAAAGGCAACAGGGCAACAAGGTGAGTTCAGTCTCGACAGCTTCGACAGCGGCTGAACATCAAAGTGCTTGGCAGTGTTTGTTTCGGCCAGTTATCAGGGTGCTTTGCAAAAAGCTCCCCGAAAATAGTGCCCAGGTTCACCCGTGCTCATTGAAAGTTGAAAGGATAGCAATTCTCACTTCCTGAATAAATTCGCCAAGAAGAAATAGCCACACTTTGTTTGTTTAACACTGATATCAGGGCTTCCCTCAAAGAAAAACACACATACAAAACCCAGGCATGCCGCGGTTGAAAGGATAGCAATCGGGCAAAAAAGAGCCTTCAGCGCATGTTGAAATGGCTTGTTGGCTCTCAGTGTCCAAGAAATCTGGATGAATGACTCCTGACACTGTCCCTTTGTAAATGGAATATCCAGGTTCATTTCTTGGCGATCCTGAGAACCAACAAGTATTAGCAGTTCACCTCTTCCAAATTCCGACACCCCCCCCCAATGGTTTCCCGACATGTCAAATTTGAAGTCTTTTGAGAGCTCCAGCTTCCCTGCCGGATACTCTTTCCGTCCCCCAGTTAAGACCATCCCACACCATCTTGGGCCTTTGGGCTTGACATGTCGGTTCGGTTCTAGGGTCGAGTCGTACTCAAAGGCTCACTCCCCGAGTTCCGTTTCGGACTCTAAGCAAACCTTGCGGGAAAACCCCTTTACTGCTAAGCAAACCGTTTGGACTTCTGGTGGGCCCACTCGGTGAGCCGCGATCGAGTCCGTCAAACGAGCGGTCAAGCACCCAGCAAGTTGAACCCGGAGAAGTGGCAGGCTCAGTGGATCCCAGCAATGAACCACCTCCAGTTGCTTCAGATCATGGACGCCCAAGGGGGGTAACAAGGCCTTATCCTTGGGTTATCCTGGGCTTATCCAGGGACAGCCCCCCCCCCCAATAGCCCCCCCGAAGATTCCATGATTCAGAAGGTTGTTTATTATCCCCTCAGCGTCTTTTTCTTTCCAGGGACTTAAGCAAAAGAACCTTTTCGGGGATTGTCCAACAGGGAACCCCCAAACAGACTACATGTATGTGTATATATATATAGGTTCGTTCCATTTCTCATTCCCTACCTATCGCAGCAGCAAGAAAAACACCAATGTACCAATCCCCTTTTGGTTTCCCTTTGGCCAGTTCCACCGGCAAGTTTTTCCACCCGCGTTTTTGGAGTTTCCAACGCGTCCATTTGCGTTGTCGCCCACTGGAAAACCTAAAACAAACAAAACAAACTTGTAGTGAAATGCATTCCCTTGAAAACCAAAGGGGACAATTTTCAGCAAATCTTCTTTTCAGCAACTGGAAGAACGGGAAACCACCGGAAAAAAAAGCCGCCCGGTCGGCGACCGACCGGACCGGACCTCTCGCCTTCGGCGAGCACGTGCACGTCGCTCACCTTCCGCAGCCAGAAGCCCTCCACCAGCTGCCGGGGGCGGATCAGGCGCACGTCGCGGCCTGTGGAGGTCGCGACGTGCGTGTGGCGCGTGTGGCGCGCGTGGTTGTTTGTGTGGTTGTTTGTGTGTGTCAAAAAAAGAGTAAAGTGTGTCACTCACAAACTCCGGGGAAGCCAAAAAGTGAAAACGGATTTGCGAGTGACACATGTGGTCCTCTTTCCAGCTTCTCGCTTGGTGATTTGAAGCCGAATCGGTTTGTTCGGGTGACAGGCGCCCCAGTTCCCCCCAACCAAGGGCTCCAAATCCTACCTGCCAAAAATGCACCAGCGCACCTGGACATGTGGGCCAAGAAGTATGGGGTACCAATTCATGGGTACCTTTTCTAAGAGGTGTGTCTTATGTTGAGGTCCCAAAAGGGAATCATCTACCGCTTTCTGGGCTCCACCATGCAAAAAATCGCCTTGATAGGGGGTTGGCCCCGAGAAAATAAATACTTGGCTTCATGTTGGCTTTCCTTGCAAGCCAGCCAAGAACCCTCCAAACACACGCCCATATACCCCCACAGCCCAGTGGATCTCACCAGAACTACAGGGAAACGGAATCACTGGGTTGCCTGCGAACGCTATGCAGTGGAGGTGTATAGAACCAGTGCCACGGTCTAGTGGTCTTCAATTCCAACGTTGACGTACGTTCAACCTTCTTAGTCGGCTGTAACAATGGCTATAGGTCAACCCGGCCTTGCTGTTCCCAGCTACAACCATGGGCGCAACCTACTTAAAAAGTAGGTTTCACATTGAGGGTGTGGGGCTGCCGAAGCTTTTTGTTCAAACTCCTGCATCGTATATGGCCAGGCTAGGCAGCATACAAACATGGTGATACTGTGGATGGACGAAATCCTGCACCAGATTGAAACCATGGATAACTTGGTAGTTACAAGAGAATCATCAGACACAAGGGCTTCTGAGCTCGGTGATGCGAGAAGCGGGTGTCACAAGCATCCAAAGTAGCATGCCCTTCTTTTGCAAAAGGTGGAAAGCCCGAACACACACCAAGCCATGGGGAAGCCAATGGAAGACAATAGCCAAGAATTATTGACCCGCAAGAGTCACTGCAAGCCACCGTTTTCAGCACCAATGTCTCCCCTTGCTATCTGCACGTGTTACAATAGTACAGTCAGTTTCACAAATTCTGCTGTAGGGACCCAAGCTGTTCTGCAATAAGTCAATCGGTTTTCAAACATTCTCAAGGATCCAGGGACCCGAACTTTAGTGAACCTCAATACGGCGCGCCTTTGTGAAAACTGCAGAACTCCGGCGCGGTTTGGTCGCAAGTTCTGCAAGCAAGGCGATGGGGATCTAGGTCAACCTCAATCAAACCACATACCTGGAGTCTCCATGACCCTTTAAAAATGGGTCCATGACCCCAATATTTTGAGTAATGACCCGATTTTTGATTCGGGTCGTGGAGACTCCAGGTAGATTGATTCTGGTCCTGCCAACCCATCGGACTCCAGTCTTAACCCCGAATGGATACCTGGACCCTCAAAAATTCCCGCTTGTTTCATGTCTTATTGCAGCCCAATCTTGTGGGGTGAATTCCCTTTTCATGGCTAGCTTGAGAGTCCAGGTCGTTTAATGATTCCTCAGAGGTCACTGGAGACATGGGACCCAAACAAACCTGCGACAATGACCCATCTCCTGGAGTTGTCACGCGTCGCACGAAAAACATCGCATCGCCTTCCCCAACCCCTTCCGCAACCTCGCGCCGAAGCTTCGGCATCCTTCGGCCATCTCGCGCCTGGGATCTCGAAGGTGGAGCCACCCACCACCAGGCCGATGGCCATCTCTCGCGCCTCGCCGCTCTCTTCGTACGCCGCCTCGGCTTCGGATCGCGGCGTGGCGAGCGCGTGCAGGGGAGGACCCGGATTTATGCACAATCAACTTCTGGCCACTAAAAAACGGGAAGCCAAAACAGGTTGAAGCCAAATTTGTTCTCATTTCAGATCGATTCGCAAGTGAGTTGTGGGCATGTGCCGTGGCAAGCTCTGTGATGCCATCTCCCTGGTTTTGGTAACCAATGGTTTTGCACCCTTTCCTGGTATCCAATAGGTTTCCACCTGGTAACCTTTGGTGTTTGAGCTCTTTATGCTGCTTACTTACTATGGTAACTACAAGCACTGGGTGGAGGTGGTAACCCTATTTCCTTATAGGGTCTGGAGTCCGGAGTTATGAGAAAGGGAATATGGGGTACTGTAACATCAACATGAATGGTTGTCACAAGATAATTGCGCGCAAGTCTTTCTGATGGCCCGTATGGTACCCTCTCACAAGTGGCAGTCAGTGACGCATTCAGAAGAAAAAGGGGGCCATGTCTGTTGATGGCTGACCATGTTACACTATGTTTGAAGTGCAAAGGGCTTTAGAGGGTGGCACCGAACATCTGGCTTCCCATCCTGCTTGAGGATTCTTATCTTCCGGACACTGGCACAATGCGCTGTGGCAAAATGGCTGTGGCTCAAAATGGGGCCCAAATTGGAACCCTGTGAAACTAGCTCCTCCAGTAGAGAGGTTAGAATAAGGGTGCCCTTTTTCTGTAGTCTATTTTAGTAGGGGGACCCTCCCCCCCAAAAAGGGTAAAAGGGCACCTAGCTCGGGGACTTAGTAAATGAAAAAGTACGCTCAAACCTTCGGTCCCCCGCCTCTTAAATTTTGAGCCACACCCAGATTGTTGGAGAGGTTCAAAGGACACAGAACTGTTGGTAGGTGCCTCTAGAACAATGGAAACGTAGATTCCCTGCAAACAAATACATGGTGGGTTTGCTCCCCTTTAAAAGGGATTCCCCATAAAATGACAAAAACACCAAAAAACACCTTAGGAGCTGAAGGCACCTCCTTTCTAGAGCTGAAGCGGATTTTGAAGGGGTTCCCCCTCCAAACAACTGAAACTTAGCAACCACCGAAGGGGTCGGATTTTGGTATCGGAGATCTTGGGAAAACCAATTCGCGGATCCGGATACGGGGGAAGCGGGGATGTGCGAGGACTCTCGGTAAAGGAAACCATGTCGAAATATTACCTGCAACATATTGCCCACATCCCTGCTTCCCCTGCTTGTCTGCTTGTTTGTTTGTCTGAATATCAGCCTCGGCACAAAGGCGCGCCGGGAGCACTCCCGCGCCAGAGCCTTCGAGTCGGCGTTGTTTTGCTGCGCCAATTCGAGGGCGCGGTCCATGCGGCCTCGAGGGCAGATGCTCGGGGAAGGCCCATCTCTATTGTGGAAGGGATGCGGTTCAGGCTTGGCCTTTGTGCAACCCAGCTCGCGGTAAAGTTTGAAGAGGTGCTTCCATGTGGAGATTTGCCTATGGCTGCCATTGAGCGGATTGGCCAACCTCCCAATCCGTTTTGCCACTGGTGCGAACCGAAAACGCACCTCCAGAAACTTCGAGAGCCGAGCGCTGCAAACCACCCTGCGTGCGCACATGATTCCCTTTTGCTTGGTTGACCGTTGGAAGGGGAGCAAAAATCTTCAAATTTTAGCAGTTAAGTGGTTGGATTTCAACCACTCAACCACAATAAGCAAACATGTGAAATGTTCCCCCCAGACGCTCCCAACTCATGTTTCGGGCCCTCGGGCCCTCGCGGGCCCTCGCGGGCCCTCGGGCTGGTTGGGGGGGGGGGGGGGTCTAAGGCTCTTGGCAACATAGCGCAGATTAGAGAAAGCAAATAGATAGTCTAGATACCGGACACTTAATCTGAACTTAGTAATTATCTACTGTTTCTTTTACTGGGAAGAGATAAAGACAGATAAAAATAACAAATAATAAAAGATCAAACAAAAAGATAAGACAACAAATAGAAAATAAGATAACAACACACAGTTAAAACAGCAGAATTTATGTAAATAACTTGCAAAGAGCTTGCCCTTCAGCAGAAGAAACGTTGCAGCCGGGTGAATCAACAAATGAAACTTTCGAGCTGGAATTGTGGAAGTGTCAAGCACTGTTCTCTCGCTACAGAGTTACAAGAGCCCCCGTTACATACCTCCGTACCAAGGTTCGCGCCGCGTCGGGCTTTGCATGCCCCTTAAAAACCATAGCCATGTATAATCATAACCCGAACAATGGCATCATCCTGGCGCAATACAATGTGGACCTGGTACAAAAAAATGCGCGTCTGAGAACCCACAAGCATAATAAAAATAACGGGGAAGGCCTGGCTTTGCAAAGAAGAGGTTTGGAGGGGCCGCGTTTTCCATTTAGTTTGGGCTGATGGTTCTAGTTTCATTTAACCCGCTTTTCCATCTAGTTTGGGTTGGTGGCTTGGAGGGCCGGTTTTGCATTCGTTTGGGTTGCTGGTTGGAGGGGGCAATTGTTTCATTTAGTTTGGGTTGGTAGTTTGGAGGGGGCCGCTGCTTTCATTTGGTTTGGGTTGCTGGTTTGGAGGGGCCGCTTGTTTCATTTAGTTTTTGGGTTGTTTGTGTGGAGGCGCCGCTTGTTCTATTTACTTTTGCTTGGTGGTTCCAGTTTCACTTAATTTTCGTTGGTGGTTTGGTCGGAGGGGTCCGCTTTTCCATTTGCTGGTTTGGAGAGGCCGTTTTTGACATTATGTTTGGGTTGGTAGTTTGGAGGGGGCTGTTTTTTCCATTTAGTTTGGGTTGCTGGTTTGGAGTTTGGAGGGGCCGTTTGTTTCATTTAGTTTGGGTTGGTAGTTTGGAGGGGCCGCTTTTTAATTTAGTTTGGGTTGCTGGTTTGGAGGGGCCGCTTGTTTCATTTAGTTTCGTTTGGTTGCGTGGAGGGGCCGTTTTTTCTATTCGGTTTGGGTTGGTAGTTTGGAGGGGGCCGTGTTTTCCATTAGTTTGGGTTGCTGGCTTGGTTGGGTTGGTTATTTTTTCCAATTAGTTTGGGTTGATGGTTCTAGTTTCATTTAATTTGTCTTGGTGGTTTGGAGGGGGCCGCTTTTCCATTAACTGTAGTTTGGGTTGGTGGTTTGGAGGGGCCGCTTGTTTCATTTAGTGTTGGTTGGTTGTTTGGAGGGGCCGCTTGTTTCATTTAGTTTAGGTTGGTGGACAGTTACGCAAGTTGGGTCGCTCAATTCATGCTTCTTTACTTGCGAATTTTGGAAGAAACCAACTAGGTCAACATCCAGGGCCCCTCGAATCTGAGTTCCTGGGCTGGGGAGATTGAAAGACCGACAAAAGGTTAAAAACCCGGGTTGTGAAATCCTAGTTCCTGATTTGGCGAGACCAACAAAATTCAAACACGCTGAAAATCCCGGGTCCCCTAAAGTGATGTGATGTGTCTTTAATTGGGGAGTTCAAAAAGTTCAAAATCCCGGGTCCCGAAAGTGATGTTCCGCCGGGTGTTTCTTTACTTGGGGAGTTCAAATCCCGGGTCCCGAAAGTGATGTTCCGCCGGGTGTTTCTTTACTTGGGGAGTTCAAATCCCGGGTCCCGAAAGTGATGTTCCGCCGGGTGTTTCTTTACTTGGGGAGTTCAAAATCCCGGGTCCCGAAAGTGATGTTTCTCTACTTGGGGAGTTCAAAAAGTTCAAACCCCACAGTGATGTTTCTTTACTTGGGGAATTCAAAAAGTTCAAAATCCTGGGTCCCCAACGTGATGTTTCTGTACTTGGAGAGTTCAAACAATTCAAAAATTCAAAATCCCGGGTCCCAATAATGATGTTTCTTTACACGGGGAGTTCAAACAGTTCAAATGCCGTTTTTTTGCGCAGTTGGAGGGCCTGTCACTGGCCTACTTGGTTGGGCTCCTGCTTTGCATGAAATGGGGTTTCCTAGGGAGCTCCTGAAAGGACCCGCCTGTTTGTCGGATACGGGGCCTTGTGGGCCCCTAGTGCAATACGGACGGGATCAATGGATCGCTGATCGACCAAAATGGCCTCGAATCACACCTCCCCTATCCGACGGTTATCCGACGGCTATCCGACGGCTATCCGACGGTTATCCGACGGTTATCCGACGGTTATCCGACGGTTATCCGACGGTATCCGACGGTATCCGACGCCGGGCCCTCGTAGACCCTCAGTTTTGGGGGCCCCGGCCCAATTATCCGACGGTTATCCGACGGCTATCCGACGGCCATCCGACGGTTATCCGACGGCTATCCGACGGCCATCCGACGGTTATCCGACGGCTATCCGACGGCCATCCGACGGTTATCCGACGGTTATCCGATGGTAATCCGAAGCTTGTTTGCAGCCCAAAGGCCCCCACCAAAAAACCAGCCCGAAACCTCCTACGACCGCGAGGGCCCGCGAGGGCCCAAGGGCCCGAAACATGAGTTGGGAGCGTCTGGGAGTAGAGTTTCTATTTTGTTTGCTGTGTGTGGCTGCCATGCTTTTTGTGCAGTTGGATTTTTTCTAGGCCTGTCACTGGCCTGCTTGGTCGGGCTGCTGATTCTCTTGAAGTGGGATGTTTGTAGTAGGGCTGTGTGGATGTCGCTTTCTTGGCGCAGTTGCTTTTCTTCAGGGCCTGTCGCTGGCCTGCTTGGTCCGGCTGTGGCCTGCATGGCCCGCCTGATGACCCGCATGTCCTGCCCACCGCCCACCGCCCACCGCCCACCGCCCACCGCCCTGCGTGAGGCAACAGCTCTTCGCAAGCAAGATTGCCAACAACATCTGCAGAAAACAGGCAGGCAAAGACAACAACCAAATTAGAAACCAGAAAAAAAACTTTGCGAAAAGCAGCAGCCCAACCAAGCAGGCCAGCGACAGACCCTGAACGAAAAAACGGCAGCCGCGGACAACAAGCAATTCAACTCTTACTTAAAAAATCAAAGAATCCAACTTTACGAAAAACAGCAGACCAGGCAGGCCAGTGACAGGCCCTGAACAAAATCCAACTGCGCAATAACAAAAAATGGCAGCCACACACAACAAACAACGCAGCAGCTTTACTAAAAAAAACAAGACCGCGAAAAGCAGCAGCCCGACCAAGCAGGCCAGCGACAGTCCCTGAAACAAAAACAACTGCACCAAAAAAGCGGCATCCACGCACAAAAAGCAAACTAGAAGCCCTACTACAAAACTCCCACTTCACGAAAATTAGCAGCCTGACTAAGCAGGCCAGTGACAGCATGCACAAAAAGCATGGCAGCCACGCACAACAAGCAAATTGGAAGCTCTACTAAATAAATCCAACTTCACGAAAAGCAGCAGCCCAAGCAAGCAGGCCAGTGACAGGCCCTGAGCAAATATCCAACTGCACAAAACACATGGCAGCCACACACAACAAGCAAATTAGAAGCTTTACTAAACAAATCCAACTTCACGAAAAGCGATGAAAAGCAGCAGCCTGACCAAGCAAGCCAGTGACAGGCCCCTATAAAAACAACAACTACACAAAAAAGAACGCGGCAGCCACACGCAACAAGCAAACTAGAAGCTCTCGGGAAAAATCCCACTTCACAAAAAGCAGCAGGCCGACCAAGCAGGCCAGTGACAGGCCCTGAACAAAATCCAACTGCACCAAAAAAGTGGCATTCAAACACAGCAAGCAAATTCGAAGCCCTACAACAAATCCCACTTTGCTAAAATCACCAGCCCGACCGAGCAGGCCAGTGCCAGGCACTGAAACAAATCCAACTTCACAAAAAAACGGCAGCCACAGACAGCAAGCAAAAAACAACAATCTCGAAGCAGCAGGCCGACCAAGCAGGCCAGTGACAGGCCCTGAAGAAAAACCCAACTGAGAAACAAAGCGGCAGCCACAAAGAAACCCAATGGAAACAAAACACTTCACGAAAAGCAGCAGGCAGACCAAGCAAGCCAGTGACAGGCCTTGAAAAGAACCAACTGCACAACAACCAAAAAAAACGGCAGCCACACAGAACAAGCAAACTAGAAGCCCTTCGGAAAAATATTGCTTCACGAAAAGCAGCAGCCGGACCAAGCAGGCCAGCGACAGGCCCTGAAGAAAAGCAACTGCGCCAAGAAAGCGACATCCACACAGCCCTACTACAAACATCCCACTTCAAGAGAATCAGCAGCCCGACCAAGCAGGCCAGTGACAGGCCTAGAAAAAATCCAACTGCACAAAAAGCATGGCAGCCACACACAGCAAACAAAATAGAAACTCTACTCCCAGACGCTCCCAACTCATGTTTCGGGCCCTTGGGCCCTCGCGGGCCCTCGCGGTCGTAGGAGGTTTCGGGCTGGTTTTTTGTTGGGGGCCTTTGGGCTGCAAACAAGCTTCGGATTACCATCGGATATCCGTCGGATAACCGTCGGATGGCCGTCGGATAGCCGTCGGATAACCGTCGGATGGCCGTCGGATAGCCGTCGGATAACCGTCGGATAATTGGGCCGGGGCCCCCAAAACTGAGTGTCTACGAGGGCCCGGCGTCGGATAACCGTCGGATAGTAATGCTAGGGGAGGTGTGATTCGAGGCCATTTTGGTTCCATCCATCCCGTCCGGATTGCACTGGGGGCCCACGAGGGCCCCGTATCCGACAAACAGGCCGGTCCCTCCCTAGCAGGGCCCCGGACCCTCCCTAGGAGGGCCCAGGAGCCTCTGGGCCCAACAACAACCATGTTTGGTGCCGGGGATTGGCCAAGATCTCGGCCGATCTCGGGTCGCTGGCTGATCTTGTTAGGACACCCCGATGTACACCCAGGCCTCACTTCCTGACCAGCTCAGGCCCCAAAAAGGCCCGAGTTGTTTTTTCTTACCACTAAAACTAGCACAGACCCCAGAAGTGTAAAGTCCAGACTACTGCTCACAGGTCTCCCTTTTTTTCCAAGCTAAAACATCACCCCTACCAAGAGAAACTCACTGGGCCACAAAGGGAAATATGGGTGTGTCTCTTTTTCTTTTTTCTTTTTCTCGAGGGTACTCTTTATCTTTGTGGGTTGGATATGCGTTTTTTTTCTTCTTTTTTTGTTCTTTCTTTTTTTCGGCGAGTCATACCCTATCTTGAGACAAACCTACAAAAGTTTGTCTTTTAAGACTACCCCGTGTTTTGTCGTTTTAGGGGGACACCAACAGAAACAACTTCTCTTTTTCCTCCGCAGCTGAAAGCGATGAGTTCTTTGCCCAAATAGGCTTGTTTTGTGGCTGCTTTCAGGGAGGGTTTATAAAGGGCATTCTTGTTCCAGGGGGCTGGGGATATCACCTGAGTCATGAACAAAACGCGGCATCAAAATGGTCTACCGAGAAACATGTAAATAATTAAGACGGCGGATATCCGCAGCTATTCATGGTTGGGATTGTCCTTTACTAGCCTTCATCTACCCGGGTTTTGAGCAAGTGGCTCACCTGAGCTTATGTGTTGTTTTTTTCTCCGAGAGCTGGGGACCCCCCTCCCCCCCTCCCCGCCTTTCTTCACAAAGCCCAGCGCTTCCGCCAGGGGCCCATCCCTGAGCGACACGCGAGACCAGCGAGGCCAGCGAGGTATGGATGGGTTTACCTGGAAACCAAAGAAACCGATCCATACCTTTCGACCGAGAAGAAAAGCTAGTTAAGAAGTCGGTGGGTTTGAATGGTTGGCAATTCGACGAGAAGTAAAGGAAAACCGTTCAACATCAAGAAAAAACATAGGTGCTCCAATGCATTCACCCTGATGACCCGCGCTACAATCCCTTCAGGAGGTGCTTGCTCAAAGGACCCGGACCCAAGACAAAATCAACTAGGGGTAGAACTCCCTGAGCAGGTTTGGTTGTTTGACACTGTCCAAACCTGAGATAAGACATATCCACCCAGAATCAGTGAGCTCGACATATGCTGGCCTCAGGGTTTTACCAAAGTCAACCCCAAAGTGGTAGGACAAAGGAAACAAACCCAGTTGTAAAGGGAAACCAAATAGAAACCACTCATTTTGAGGGCTCTAGGGGACAATCTGGGTTGTCAGGTAACCGCTCGTTGATGGTTTGGATTGGCGGCTTCGGGATTTGAACCCTTGGTTCACGGTAGGGGCGTTCGGATCACCAGTTCCTGACTTTGATGACCCCTACTACTCACTTCCTGAGTGGATGGCCAACAAAACGTCTGAGCTTTTTGTTGGAATCCAAATGGTCCAAACCCAAGAAGTTTAAAGTCCAGGAACTAGGGAAGCGAGGAGAACCTTTATGCCCTGATTCCAGTGCCACAAAAGATTCATCAACCCTGGGTTTAGCCGGGAATCATCACTTTTGAAGGGGCCCCCACCGCCTTATTGACCAACCGGGGGGGTTGATTCATATGGGGCCAACAATTGCCATCAAGACCTAACGAGCCTACGCAAATAGATGCCATGGCTCCGACCCACTTCTTCACCACCCTGCCTTGGGGACAGGGGGTCCTCAGTGCCGAAGAAGCCCCTGCCTCGGTTTCGCGCGGTTTCCGCCTATCGCATGAGGGTGTCTTCTCTTGTGGGAATGGGGTTAGTTGTCAATTCCTTCCCACAAAACCACCTCCCCTTTGCCAAACGAACTGCTTGAATGTTGTTGCCAAGTTAAAAATTGGTCAGCCACTTGGGGTTGTTCATCCTCTAATAACAAGATTAACCCCACATTCACGGGGGGACTCAGAAGTGGGTTGTGTCTTAGGCTACCAACAACTTACTAACTTGGCCGAACACCCAAGTACCTTTTTTGGTTGGGTTTTCAAGGGAAACCAAAAGGGCCAGCCGATTTTGGGGTCCCACACCTAATTACGCCTTCAGTTGAGAGGCAATGTCACATCAACTTGGGGACCAAATATCAGGCTGTGACAGTCTTATGGGGTCCGTTCCCCTGATGTGATTCTGGAGGGGTGTTGGTATGATTGCATTCACCGGTAGATATTTCAAAATGGTGGACCACCCGAACGTACTTCGGATTCCCTTATCAACAACCCCCGGAAGAATATCCCGCTTTTCCTTGAAGCCCACCCTCTCGCCAAACAAACCGTCATCCAGTGCTTGCCGTGCGAGGTAATTACCCCCCCCAAAAAAATAATAATAATAATAAACATCTAGAAAAAGAAAAAACTAAAACACCCCACCCCTCCCCAAAAAAAAAAAAAAACAGAAAAACAAAACCACAACATGCACCCATTGTCACCCATTTGGGTATGCCTCAAAATAGGGGCAGCCCGAACATGCTGGTCTCCCTTTGGATTCCCTAGGCCCTCAAACTACCGCTAAAAACGGGATACCCGCCCCATTTTGGGTTCCAATAACCTACTTTTAAGTCGGTACTTGGAGGGTCCAGGTCCCTTCAAATACCCCCCCTCTCACTTCCTGAGTTCATGGGGCCAACAAAAACAAACAAGAGCAGGTGGTTTGCCACTACAAACTGGTACTCCCCAAAAGCCAATCAAACTTCAAGTCCAGAAGCTCTGCTTGTCCCCCCTATCTTTCTGCTTGTCCCAAAGAAGGTTATCATGTGGAATAAAACCTCGTGTTTTTGCGTGCTTATTTTTCCGACCCAAACTTGTGAAATTTGGCCCTCGGGAAGCAGACCTTTTGGTTCCATCAACAAGACGCAGCTTTGGAGCGAGTCCCACGACACCCGCCGAGACTTCGGCGCGGCTGCCGCGCGGCAGCTCTCGCGGCTTTCCGGACGCCGAGCGCAGCCATGGCGTCGAACGCGCCGCTGGGGCGAAGCTGCGCAGGTAGGGTATGAACATAGGGATTCCCTTGAAGGAAGCCACTAGAAAAGGTTGATAGGGGTCATTCTCTCATTTCCTGCTGAGAGCCAGGGAGAAAAGGGGGTCTGAATCCTAAGGTCCTCCAGTAGAGAGGTTAGAATAAGGGCAACAACTTGTTTCTTCTGTAGTCTATTTTAGTAGGGGAACCCAAAAACCCCCCAAAAAAAAAGCAAAAGGGCACTCAGTTAATCCGCCGGTGTTGAGTACTCGTTTGGTGTTTGTTTCTTAATATCAGGAGGCAATCCGCTGGTGTTTAGTTTTCGTTTGGTGTTTTGCTTCCACCAGGAGGCAGTCCGCAGGTGTTAGTCGTTTCCAATTGCCAGGGCTAACACATGTTTTGGGATTCCAATTTCTGGGATTCCACACCCCAGTGTCAAGAGAAAAAATGGAGCAACCATGCAATTCAAGCTTTTTGAGTGAGCCTGGAATTCGCGGCTTTGCTTTGTTGTTTCTGACCCAAGAGCTCCCAATTCATCCCATGATGGCTTACTTTCAGTGCCTCCAGTTGTCACTAGAAGCCTTCGCATTCTTCTTACCTGGCTCAATCGATGGTTGCCCCTGGTTTCCTCCTTCGCAGTCTTCTTACCTCGCTCAATCGATGGCTGCCCCTGGTTTCCTACTGGGAGCTGGACGCAGTGTCGGCATTCTGTGCTTCTCACTTCGTCCGGAGCCGGCTGTCAACCAGGCACGACGGGAATTTGGGCTGAGACAAGTGGACATTTTCCGGGTGCTCCTACAGCCCAAAAGATGTTTGAAGCAACTTGATGGGGAAGATAGCTAGGTCCTCCAGTAGAGAGGTTAGAATACGGTACCAACTTTCTGTCGTCTATTTTAGTAGTGGAACCCTCCCCAAAAAAGGGGGAGAGAAGGGCACCTAGCTGGGGGGCCTAGATAGGGAAGCCTGCTCAAAGTGGGCCACCCCCCTTGGGACTTGTGGGTCTTTGGGGTCTGAAGCTGTCCCTGAATCCACCCATGTCACTTTGGGTTTCGCCAAGGAAAGTCAACCCCCCCTTGGATTCCCCAAAGAACATCAGCCACACAAACATCTCTGCCAAATGAAATGAAAAAGAAAACCAAACAAGGGGGTTAAAACCTATGCGTTAAGCAACAAGAGATTCAGAGGAACAAAGGCTTTAAAGCATCCAGTAGGGACCTTTGTCTCTTTCTTTTAGGAAAGACTCCCTCCCCAAAAAGAATCCAGGAGCCTACAGAATTGAAGAAAAAATCCCAAGGAGAGTTGACCCTCCAGCGAGTCCGAAACTCTTCCCCTCTCAAGGTATGGGGTGTCTCTGGCTGACGCTGGACGCTTGGGTTACTGTGGCTTGGGATCCTCGATCCGAACCAAAGAACAAAAGCTGAGTACCTGGCTCCTCACATTCTCTGGGTTGACGTTGGGTTTGGGGAGCAGAAATCTTCAAACTTTAGCAGCTGAGTGGTTGGATGTTCCAAGCAATAAGCAAACATGTGAAATGTGTCCCAACAACAACCATGCTCTCACTTCCTGAGTGGGCCCAACAAAGTAACCAAACCTGGGTCCTCCAGTAGAGAGGTTAAAATAAGGGTACCAACTTGTTTATGTCGTCTATTTTAGACACAGGGAACCCAAAACCCCAAAACAAGGTGAGAAAGGGCACTACTAAGGGACCTAGAAACCTTTCTTGGGCAACTAAAACGAGCCAAACCCCAAACATCTAGGGGTTGATTCAAAAACCAGCCATTTCCCCAGGGGTTTTGGTGGTTTTCTAGAAAGATTCGGATCCCTGGAAAGAATGGTTGGAAGCTACCCCTAGAACAACCATAATGTAGCACCTTAAACTCAAATGCCGGCAAGTAGCAGGAGCAAATCACCAGGTGGCGGTCACTGATGGAGCACACCAAATCACCGGTTGGAAGTTCCCCCTAGAAAACAGTAAACTGCTTTCACGGAACTCAGGGTGAGCATTGACCTCAGCTGGTTCGCGCCTTTGCCGCCGCCCTTGGCGTCGCCCTCGCGCCACAGCCAAGGTGCAAGTGGGTCTTTGCGCATGTTTTTGGAGGGAACCTTACTTGAGGGCGGACTTCCCGTTGGTTTCCCGAAGAAAGCCACAAGGAAAGACGAGCCAACGTAAGACTTCGTGTGGCCCAAATTCTCTATCCACGACCATTGGCAACCCCAAGTAAAGGGGGTGTGTTGGCCATAGGTGTCACGGGCCAAATGATATATCCCCCCCCCTCCCAAAGAGGGAAACGCATTAAGAATGCTTGGAGTTTCCAGGACACTTCTTGATCCCCTCCCCCCCCCAGCACGAGTTGAGAGGACCCTCAAAACCGCAAAACCGAACCTTGAGGACACAGAAAACGAAGGCATGGAAGGCCAAGCTTGATGGAACTCGTGCCTCTCCCCAACAGTTACCTGAAAAACCAGACATGAGTCATACCGGTACAAAAATGGTGAACCCAGAACCACGTATATAAAGGATTAAGCAGGCGGCCGCACCTATTTATGGTTGGGATCGTTCCTTACTCACCTGTCGGACGGAGGACGGAACGGAGCCGAAGAGGTAAAGCACTAGTTGGAGGCCTAACGAACTCAGAAGGTCTGCTCCAATCTCCGGGTTGAAATTGAGCTGATGTGGGTGTGGCTCAGAATCAAACAGCTGGGGTTACGCAGGTTTTGGTCTTTGCTTCCATACACCAAGGTGCCATTTTGGGTTTCCATTTTGTGAGCCACACCCATGTCTCGGTCTTGATTTTTGAAACCCTTGGTGTTCTCAGAGATCCCGGTCAATCTCGGAAGCAGCGGAAAGCGCCGTTGCGCTCATCTTTGTCGATGTGCTATGTCAAAAGCTGGGTCAAAAGCTGGGCAGCCGCTCGCAGGGGTGAGTCATCTCCTCCACTTGGATAGTCCGTGGGTTAGCTGAATCGTCGGCAATCCTACTGAAATAAGCATTTAGAGGCGGGGAGTAACTGCCATTTCCCTAGGATCCCCTCAACCAGGGAAGGTATTCCTCAAAGCCCAAGCCCCACAGACCATCACTACACTGGGCTATGGGCCTGGACAAGCTCTGGCTCGCCTCATGTGCGGTTCCTCACATGTCCCGAAGCACAGGGAAACGTGCTGTGAACAAAACCAAGGGACAAATACCACTGGGAGTTCAACAAGGGGCCGGCACACAAACATGATCTATTTTTTGTGTTGGTTTCGTTTTGGGAACATGAAACCGCCTGGGATATTCTCAGATTAGGGCGTTTCTCAACTAGTGGCACCCTAAAACAGTCGCTTTCAACGCTTGGCTTCCCTTACCCAAACCTTGCCGGTGCTCCCCTTGAAGGAGGCCAGAAAAGGTAGGGGTCGTTCCCTCACTCCCTGAGAACAAGCAAGAACTGGGGGTCTGAAATCCCCAAGACCTTAAACCACGCAAAAAAAAGAAGCTTATAGGGGTCATTCCCTCATTCCCTGCTGAGAAGGGAGAAAAGGGGGTCTGAATCCTACTAGGTCCTCCAGTAGAGAGGTTAGAATAAGGGTACCAACGTTTTTCGGTAGAAATTTTTAGTTGGGGAACCCTCCCCCAAAACAGGGGAGAGAAGGGCACCTGGCCTATTTTGAAAACCCAGAACTCCTGCGGGTCAAATCTTTGACCCTTCCGCGCACCTTGCCGGCGCCAGAGCCGCCCTTCCCAGCTTTCCCGCCCTTGCCTGCCGCGCAGGGAACCAAACAAGGCTCTGGTGGGTGTTGCTTGCTCGGTACCTGGGTTTAAAGGGAAACCGGAAGGACATCAAAATCCTCTTGTTGTTTTGGGGCCATGACTAAAAATGAACCAAATCCCTCCCCCCCGACCCAAAAAAGGACGGATCCGGCCAACTCACTTTGGACAACTCCGTGTGAAAAAGAGCGCATGCTCATTTTCGTTGGACATCCCTTAGAGCAGGAACCCCTTCCAAAACAAGGAACCTCTCCAACAAAAAAAGCAAGAAGACAACTCCAGGAAAGGAAGCAAACCGATTTGCAAGGAAACCGCTGCAAAAAAGGGGGGTGGCACTGGTTATTTGGCGACGTCAACGTCCCTCTCTCTCTCTCTGTCTCTCTCTCTCGCCAGAAAGCCAACAGGGGAGTATGTTCTCCAAACGACCGAGATGTTTTCCTACGAACTCTAGACACAGAGGGTCTGGAAATAGGAACGCATGCTGAAAGGGTCCCTTGGTACTCCATATTTGTGTCTTTGGGTTGGCTTCAAGGGAATTCGTCAAATACACAAATCCGCAAATTGAGGTACTTGGACCCCTCTGGGATGGACAAATGCAAATAACAAGCACCCTGTTCTTCCAAAGTAAGCTGAAATAATAGAAGGCCGCCCACAATGATGACGTTTGTTGTGTACGCTGGATTTGGGCCAAGGTGTTCTTGTTGCGTTGTAATGGATTGAATGATAAGGCAGGGAAAGAGCATGCAACGTACAATGGATTATGTGTCTACCTTGAAATGCACCGTGATCCCGGTAAACAGATTCATGAACGGCTCCAAAAACAAAGAAACACACAAACAACACAATCAAACAAACAACACAAACAACACAAACAAAACAAACCAAACAAACCAAACAAACCAAGCAAACCAAACAAACCAAACAACCAACCAAAGCAATCAATCCAGCAAGCAAAGCAACACGGAAACATTGCATACGAACAGACCTCGCCTCCGGGATCTTTTTTCAGCGCCTTCTTGACTCCCTTGGCACCGCCTGGCAAATCGGAATCAATCCGATTCGGCGAGTGAGGGTGCCCTTTTGTTTGAGCAAAAGGTCCTCAGAGCCCTTGCCATTTTGGAGGGTGCCCAATTTTGGGAACCAACTGGCAGCGAGCTTAGGGGTCCCCCTTTTTGGGAGCGAACTGGCAAGCTCCCTAGCGAAGGTCGTTCGACCTTTTGTGGGTTGCAAAAGCAATTTACTTCCA